GGTCCCTTCTGAGATGTTTGCCATGCCCACATTCCTTCTGCAGGCTAAGCTGCCTCTTATCTGACCATTGCCCTGGCTGTGGCTCTTTCCCCATCTCTCAAGGTCATTCCCACATACGATTACACTCCCCTGAAATTTGTGAGGCACCTACTATAAAATCTCTGAAAGATTATTCTTTCATCCTGGCTTTCTTGGTGTAAATGTTAAAGATGAGAACTTCATTTTGTTTTCCATCTCAGTATCTTTGGGAAGAGCCTTTAACAACTCAGATGCCATCATCAAGAAGGTTGTACTCCCCAAAATATAATTACCTAGATTATCAAACAAAAAAGAAAGAAAGAAAACTTTTACAGTGACACTGCAATGTTTGAATGGGAAGGAATCACACAAGTATTAGATGTGGTGGAACTGGAATTCCATGTAGCCGTGGTATCTGGGATGGAAATTCTGCAAGCTGCAGTTCCATGATATCAGGAGAGCACCAGGCTGGGAAAGCTGTTTTAAGAATATATTGATGTGTCTATGAAATATATGTTTTTAATGGTTCTAGTAAATTGGTCACTTAGGAGTTTTGCCATTCCTTTCCTTGTAAAGCTCAGAACTCATACAATTCCCAGATGACCATATCTCTTGAAATGAAAAGACAAACGGTGAATAGGGCTTTGTTAAGTATGCAAGATGCATCAAGGAACTGCAGACACATCACTTTCTAAAAAATTATTTGTGAAAAGTAATATTTGTAAAAAGGCTTCTTTTTTTTAGCTTATCCTTTCTTTCACAGAAACTCAGATGGATACATAGATCTGGATGAACTAAAGCTCATGTTACAGGCTACAGGAGAAACCATCACTGAAGATGACATTGAGGAGCTAATGAAGGATGGCGATAAAAATAATGATGGCAAGATTGACTATGATGGTGAGTTATGTTTATACGCTGCATTAAATCACAGCCGGAAATGCAGAACCATAAAAACAAATTGAGGGCAGGAATCACATCAAAATTTGGAGCTGCATCTTAATCAGTAAAGAAACACCTGAGGAGTCCTCGGGGTTCTCTGAGCTTGGTTGTTTCCTTGCAGGTGTTTCATTACCTGGCTAGGTAGCATCTTCAGGATTAGCTACACTTCTGGTCAAATGAACAGGAAAGTTCTCAGGAGTGCTGCCCCAAATAAAAACATATGTTTATCTTCTGTGCTTTCTCCTGTTTGTCACTTCCCAATAGTCTGTGTTGAATTTATTGGAAAGCTTTTCAATACGTGGAGTTTGTTTTTTGATGATACTTCCAGAAAGATCCCAACTTAACTTGGTTATGTCAACAGGGGTGGGGGGGGGGGGGTCTCACGAAAATGGGAATTTAATGAGGTGGCTACATTGCATGTAACATCTAATGTTCTCCCCTAGCCCTTCAGTCTTTTATTATAATAATATTGTTTTAATTGTAGGGTGCTTTTTGTAATTACTGTTTTTATGGTTTTATTGTACACTGCCCAGAGTCACATTTTGTGAAATGGGTGGCATATAAATATGATAAATAAATATATAAGATATATCTCATATTCATCATGACAACACCAAACAGGAGTTTATGCTTTGCTAGATCATTGGAATCAGTGGGCATTCATCTCCTTAACACTCTCTTGCAGTTTAAATATCTTTTCTTTGAAAATTTAGCTTGAGAAATAATCGCACAATTTTTACCTAGGAAAAAAATATTATGTAAGCCTGAACAAAAGCATCATCCGTGTCGTGTGAATGGATGAGCCTCGGCATGAACAAACCCACCCACCATTGCTGAATGAGACCCAGGTCCACATTCAGCCATGGAAGCTCACTGGGTGGCTTGGATGAAGAACTATCTTTGAGCCCAAGTGTTATGGAGAAAAGTTGTAGAATGAAGTACTGTATTTCTCACAATGCAGTCTTGGAAGAAATGCAGGAGATAGCAAAAAGAAAGAAAGGGCTGAAAGGAATGATATGGAAAAGGCCAGGAACGTTCCCTCATTCTCTGAATGTGATCTTTTTACACAAACATCTTTGATTTCTTTCCTTTTTCAGAATTCCTGGAGTTTATGAAAGGTGTTGAGTAAACATGAGAATTCTTGAAGGCAGTGTCCTTATGTGAACATCTTCAGTTTTGTCTTGTGTCATTTCATCAGTTCTGCTTCCCTTATTACTTTCATGAAGTTGTGTACTGAACATGGTGAAAATCAGGAAAACATGACCCATCTCTTCTTAAGGGCCTCAAATGGTCATTGAACATTGATCGAGCCAGGTTATTATGCCATAGAATGATGCCATATGCTGTGGCTTCAACGAACATAAAAATGTTCCTTAACTGATGTCTTGGTTCTGCTGGTTACAGTGAAAAATAACATTTTAATAACTATTGAGACGTTTAAGTAATTGTCACACATTTTGATTTAACATTAGGATATGCTTTTTCCTTTCTGTACCTCTTTGCCAGCCAAGTTAAAATATGTAAAAACACAATATGTACCAAAAAAATAAGGTTTCTTTCCAAAATGCTAATAAAAATAATTGCAAATCAGAGTGTTTGTTTTGCAGAAGTTACTTAGTGTGGAATGTTGCCATGCATGCTTATGAGAAAAAAAAGAAGCAGCTGTATTTAAGGTTTAGGTTTATACTAGAGATAGTCATATTGAATATACCAGGCACTCCAAAGTCTCCATTTAAAGTCTGATAATTTCTGTAACTTTCCCTTAGCCTGGTGCCTTGAAATGTGTTAGATGTTAGCTCCATAATTCCCAGGTAACACACTTACTGTCATCTCATCTGAAGAGCATCAGGTTGGAGAAGGTTGAACTAGCAGATACAGCCAAGCTGCACTGATTCTCAAAATGCCCAATAACCTCTGAACCCAGTCTGATGATAGGAACCTATTTCTAGGAAATCAGTATTTATTTGTTTGTTTGTTTATACCAATTTATATATTCATCCATCTTAAAAGCATGACTCTGGGTGGCTAATAGTTAAAAGATCAGTACAAAACAGAACAATGATGAAATAAAAACAATCATGACCAAAACAAAAAGCAGTTAATCAACTGAATGCATCATGGCCTCACCTAACCTCCTGATCCCATGTCCCAGGTCTTAACTGTTTTCTGAAAGGTCAGAAGGGTCAGGGTCAGGGTCAGCTTAACCTTGGCTGTATTATGTTCTAAAGGGCAAGTGCTGTGACAGAAAAGGCACACTTCTTGGGTCCTGCAAGATGACATTCTCTAAATGATGGAACCCGGAACATGCCTCTCCTGCTGTACCTGTTGGGACAGGAGTGACCATTGCAGAGAGAGACAATTCCTCAAATAACCTGGGCCCATGACATGAAGGGCTTTATTGGCGATCACTAACATCTTGAATTGCACCCAAGGGCATATTGGAAGCCAATGCAGCTCACAAAGCAAAGGTTTAACATGGGCATCCAGATACACCCATAATTGCTTGTGCCACTGCATTCTGGACCAATTACAGCTTCCAGATATACTTTTAGGGCAGCCCCTTGTAAAGCACATTGTGGTACTGTAAGTCCACTCAGAGGTGACCAAAGCATGAGTGATCATACATAGTGCCTCCTGGTCCAGGAAGGGACATGTCAACCCCACTAGGCAGAAGAGACCAGGGAACCAATTCCACAGGAAGTATTTTTATTGAGATTGGCCTATAATAATAGAAGTTTGCAAGGGGAGCTGTTGGCAGTTGGCGGTATTATGTTGTTTCTCAGGGCTTAAAGAATGTTTCAGTCCTCTTTGCCTTCTCTCTATACTCAAAGACATAGCTTTAGAAGATAAGTTGTTTTTATTGAGGACACTAAGTACCCTACTGATGATAAAGATCAGCTTCCACAGAGTCTAATCATCTAGCCGTGTGTGTGTGTGTGTGTGTGTGTGCGCGCGCACACACACACCTGCCCATCACAAACATACTTGTTTCTAGCCTTGCCAGCTCCTGTTTCCAAGTCCTTCAGCTGCGTGCATAGCCTCCTTTTACGAGCGCTAAGCCTTCACCAAGAAGCACATTTAATCACCAGTACCAGAAAGAAGATCTTAAATGACACAGATGGCAGCAAATTAGTCTCTATTGCTGCTAGACTGTGAGGAGGGATGAGTAACAACAGGGTTCCTCAACCTTGACAACTTAAAGATGGGTGGACTACAATCCCAAGAATCCCCCAGCCAGTAAGAAGGCTGGCTGGGGAATTCTGGGAGTTGAAGTCCCCCTGTCTTAAAGTTGCCAAGGTTGAGGAACCCTGAGTAACAAGGAACCCACTTCTACAGTAACAGCAAGTGTGTCCTTCTAATCATTTAGCCAAAGGGCCTTCAAAGTGCTACACACCCCTGTATCGGAAATAAAAATGGGGAACCCATGAAAGGGAGATTTTTTTTGTGGCACCACTGAGGCAAGCAGTGCCTTTTGTGAGATATAATAGAATTGTGAGAGATATTTTCCTCTTTTAACAGATCTTACAAGCAAAAGGAAACAATCCGTTATTCCCATTTTTATTCCCAAGCAACATTGTTTGGACCCAGTGTGATATGTAGTTTTATTACCTGCTTGCATTAGGCCACTGAAAGGAGATTTAAGTTTAGATTAAAGTTAACTTTAAGGGGTTGGTGCTGATTCTTCGTATCCACTCAAGTGTTTATCATTGTCGATGGAAGTTCTGCTTCATGCATAATTATGCCATCGATAGCTCACTTCGCATAATATATTGACCACTGTGGGTGAATCCAGCCATTCTGGTTTATAGCTGAGCATGCTGTGTGAACTCAGCTAATTGGAGCTTATTCAGTAAATTATGGTTAAGCAATGCTTTTGTGCACTTTATGTACATATGCAGTACCTAATACTACATGTATGAACAAAAATTAATTTGGCCACTGACTACCCCCAATTATAGCGAAAAAAAATCTAGGCGCTCAGCCAGACTAATATAACTTCTTGGTTTTTCCATTAAGGAATATTTTTTCCTAAACATCTGAGTGTTCACCTTTCAATGTTATCATTGGGGAATTCACAGCAGTTGTGAAAACATGTAGGTTTAACGCACATGAAAAAGTACCACATCTGCCTGCTGGGAAGATGATCCCAAACGTAAGAAAATTACCCCAGAAAACAAAAGTTAGGGGAAAAAAACCCCGTCATCTCTCTCTATTACCATATTCTCAGTGAATCTAAATTGTTTCCATATTTTAAGAGTGAATTATTTAGGAAATAACCTAGCCTTCCTTTCAGATACATGTAGAAACACAGTACTTTAACAGCATATCATTAGATACTAAGGGACATGTCATGTCTGGAAATTGATATCTGAATCTCATGTTCATGTATCTCCAGGAAATGTATCAATTGCATCAGCTATTTTGGAACACAAGTAGCCAGGCTTGCATTAAAAAAGTCATCACAAAGATAAGCGTCCAGGGAGGTTGAAAACTACACCTCCAACATTCTTTACTTGTTTATTTGTAAACTGTATGGCCTGCTTTTCATCATTACAAAATAATTCTAAGCTAGGGCCACAAAATCAGATTGAACAATACATCTATATAATATTACAAGACCAGCTATCTCCAAGATAAATTTGTTGGGTCTGAGGCTGGTTTAAACCTACACAGTTATCTTGCTATGGCATGGGAAGGAAAAGAGGAGTGAGTTTCACTGCTGGGTGGAAAACCCCAATCCCAGGGCAAGACATCCTGAACAGTAAGATCCTTCTGAGACTAAATTAGTTAGCTATTTAGTCAGTAAGCAAATAAATGAATAATTCTGCCCAGAAACTGACACCCACCTCTTACTCCAGGCTAGTTGGTTTCATCCATGGTTTCTCCACAAGCCATTTCCTTAATCTTTCGCATTTCACTTAGATAAAATTGTAGTAGCTCACACTGTTTCTTCATTTGGTCTCATGAAATAATTACCCTTTCATAGCATAGGAGAGATTAAGCCCTGTTCCAGAGGATTGTATTTCAAAGCCACTTGGTTGAAACTTTAAATAGGTAGATTGCTTAACTTTCTTAAAAGTATAACAACAGTGCAATCTAACATGTGCCTGCTCAAAGTCTCTATGAATCCCAGCTCATTTGCCAATCATTTATGAGACTATAGTTTAAAACCAGAAACCTTAAAACTCACAATACTTTGTATATGTGAGCAGTTGCCATTGAGCTACGGACCACTTAAGTCAGGATGGCCCTGGAACATTATAGGCAACATGTCATGATTTTTCTAGATATCTATCTTAAGGAAGGAGAAAGAAGGAAAGGCAAAAATCAGGAGAGATGGCATGTGCTTAGTGGGGTCTTGTAACAACTGCTGGCCTTAATTAACCATTTGAGGGAAGCCCATCCTCCACCCTATAACGAAGGGGAGCTATTTATAGGCACATTATTAGAGGGGAAGCTGGGAATTCTTGGTGGAGGCATTGTCCAAGCAGCTGTCACACACTGCTATCCTGTATGTTTCTTTAAAGTCCCTCCTCTTGACTTGCACTTAAAATTATAGAACATTGCCAAAGCTTTTGCTGAAGGAGAAGGCAAGGAATATTCACGCTGTTAGAATTGCTGCTGCTGCAAAAAGATTAAAAAAAAATCTGTCAAAGGTTTTCCTAGAAAAAAAAACACTGGGACCCAATGTGGCTCTGAGTGTATCTACATAATTTCCCAACTGTTGTCACTTGCCTTTGTTCATTTCTTATAAAGTTGTAAGGCTGACATTAAATGATTGAATCTGGCAACATTATTACTGCTAAGGTATATATTTTAGCACAGCATGTTCTTCACATTTAACCCATGTGACTGATTTATGGTTCAGGGTGTCATGTGCACCCAGAATATTGGACTAACTGAGTAAACTTGTAGTTGAGCTTGTTTATCATGCAAACTCAGCCATTATGTGAAATAACTGAACTACAAGATTGTCACTGAGCAAATTAGGTCAGCTTCTCTACTAGACAGTCGTTCATTAACTATCTTTCTACCTCTGAGAGAGGTGGAAACCCCAGTGAACTTCTAGAGATTACAATGTTATCTAGGTAAGGCAGATTTTCCTGGCCTGATGCCCCCCATTTGCCCTCCTCCTCCGCTACTATATTCTACCAGCCAGTTTGGGCGCTGGCCAAGTAAAAGTTCAGTATCTTGGGAAGACAACAGGTTAGGAAAGACTTTTCTCTCTCTCCCCAACAGAGGCCAAAATTTGAAATTGCACAAAGGGTGCTTTATATGTGAATACAATTAGACTGTATTTTGACCTCTAATTAAATGATTGTGCG